ACCACCGTGGCGACCACGCGGAACACCACCAGGGCCTGCGCCAGCCCGATGATCAGCACCAGCTGGGCACACGCGGACACAAGACACAGCGCCTTCAGCACAGCTGGACCGCCACCACCGTGGGTCACAGCACTGCAGCCGCGCAGCCGCCAGGTCTCCGGGGCCAACACCAGGCTCGGGGGGCTGTATGTGGGGAGTCTGCATGTTCCCCCAGGCTGTCTGTGTATTACTGGTTTCCCCACAGGTTGTGGGATGATTGCCTGCTCTGATCTGCCCCTTTCTGGGCTGGGCTGGGGTGGGATGGGGTTCACAAGATTCCGACTTCTGAAATATCTCCCCAGTGTAACAGACCCGGCGCAACAGAGGGGGGGGGGAGGGGGCGTCGCCCCCTCAGCTGAACTGTCCCGCCCCAGTCTTGGTCAAAAGGACTTCTGAACACTTCTGCATACTTAACTTGCGCCCTAAAAAACAGTTGTACTTTGTCAAGGGTCAGATAACTACACTCACCCCGCATTCACAGTTACTGCATCGGACTGCTTGATGTGCAGGAGGGCTATCTGCCCAGGACCGGCACCTATTCCACAGTGTCTGCCTTACTGGGCGTCGACATTATTACGATCTTGTTAGCTCGGGTGGACCGATTCCTTGCAGTAGTTTATCCTTATACTTACAATCGATATATAACTAGGACCGTAGTTATAGAAGTTGGTGCTTTTACAACTCTTTTTTCGTAACGATTCAGAAGCTCGTTACTGTCGATGTAGCTGCACAAATGAACGCACCCGGTATTTTCTCGCTCCAGGCCATAAATGTGCTGTTTAGAGCCAACTATGATATTGTGACAGTTGTTAGTCCAATGACTTTGTTCTCCATACTTTATCTTTGATAGATGATAGATGCAATAGGGATTTTCTTCCACTTTGATATATCATGTTTAATAATGAAAAGCACAGAACAGTTTGCGGGAATCAGTTCTTAATGTAATGACTTCATTGCCCACAACTTTTCTCAGAAGATTCGAACTGTTCTGTGACTCAACATGAGTTCCGCATAAGCGAAATCTGTCTGTTCAAATCAGACAAGTTTTCAAATGGTTAATCCTTAAACCTTTAACTTCTGGTAGATTTAGCAGGGCGTTAATTATAATGAAAGTTATTACTGGTAATCACAATTGTTACAGGAGCTGGCTGTGCACCTCTGAGCTGGACGGTTCTGACCCTGGCTGTGTCCTCAGTAAAACTGCTCAAGAGCTACAATTACAGAGGCTGGTTCTCCCGAAAGCCCCAGTGAACCCTGGAACAATTACTCCCCATTCTTGAACTACTAACTTCAATTAGCTCAGTCAATTGGCTTCAATAAGCTCAGTCAATTGGCTTCAATAAGCTCAGTCAATTGGCTTCAATTAGCTCAGTCAATTGGCTTCAATTAGCTCAGTCAATTGGCTTCAATTAGCTCAATTTGCTTAAATTAACTTAGTCAATTGGCTTCAATTTACACAAAAATCATCTTCAATTAACAGTCAATTGGCTTCAATTAACAGTCAATTGGCTACCAACTACCTCACAGACCAGGAGGGCCACATGGCCTCCTCCTGTTGTGTCCTCTCCGATGTTCGCCCCCTCCCGTGCGCGTGTGGCAGCCCTCGGACTCGGGCCAGGCACTCACCATGAGGGTGACGAGGATCAGGACCAGGGTGCTGCGCAGGTAGGAGTGCAGGTAGGGCTGGGGCTGGCAGGAAGGATTGTCCACCACGTCCAGGATCAGCTCCTCCTGCGGGACGACACAGCGGGGCTGGTCACGCCGGGCAGACCCTTCTCCACCCCCACCCCCCAGAACCGCAGACTACAGGGGCCTCGGGTCCCTGCCCTCAAAACCCAGAAAGTCGGAACGGGACCAGAACAGGGGGGAGAGAGTCAGGAAAAAGCTGCCCAGCCATGCGTCCAAAGCCGAGGGCCTGGTGTCTTTCAAGAACCAGCTGGGATCCATGTTCTCATCTGCTCCCATGACTGGCCCCTGTTTCTGCCCTTTCTGGTGTTCTTCTGCTCATGTCTTCGGGGGTCAGGACCTGCTGACGGGCCCAGTCCGTTTTCAGTCGTACCGATTCCCTGTTCTAAAACCAAACACGACACACTCCCCAGAACACTCACAGTACCTCCTCCTCACACCAGTTGAACACTTTCCACTTGCAGACGTACTCCGCTCGATGGCGCTTCCAGAACTCCAGGAACACGGTGGCTGGGAACAGCAGAGACAGCCGGGGGGAGATGTGAAACAGCGAGGGTCTGGGGCGAGCGGCTGAGATACACTCGTACACACGTGTGCGCACACACACATGTACATGCATACACGTGCACACGCACACACTCATGCATACACACACTCACAACAACATGCACGCATAGGTTTACACACACGTACACACACTTGCAACAACATGCACATGTATGTTTACACACACTTGCACGCACTTGCAACAACACGCACACATATATTTACATACACATACATGCCCGCACACACATGCACACACACACTGGTCTATTACAGCATGATGAACCCACACAGAAATGCAAAGATACAGACATATACTGTACGGTTCAGCACACATTTTTGGTGAATGTTTCTTTGCACGTAAAAAAATCTCTATATATTTGTATATTAATACCTGTATATAAATGTAACGAATTATGTGAAACACTTTCCTGTGCCTCCTGGGGCACAGAGACTCACCCCACACGGCCATGAACATGGCGAAGAACACAGTGCCCTCGTTGTCGAATAGGTGGGTGACCTGCGGGGACAAGGAAAGGCTCAGGTTAGGGGCTGTGCTGCTGACCGCTGACCGCTGACCTGTTCCAGCCTGCAGCTGGTCAGGCTCAGGGC